AAAGATAAGTGCTACCTGACACTAGAAGGGATTCATCATCTACTCTGGCCCAAAGAAGGAGCTGATAATGCTGGATCTCACTCTGGACTGTGCTTTCATAACACATTTTACCCAGGAGTCATGTGCAATAGTGTCACTTGTGGGAGCCTTCACCTGTTCCTGGATGCTTGAGGGTTAGGGGGTGGGAATCTGAATCGTTTCCAAGTTTGCACGTATCTGAGCCAAGTGGGGACCAGGGTTGGCCTGCAAATTTTCATGAAATAAACTCTGGAAGATTGTACAGTTGGTGCCTTTCGTTTTCTTTAAAGGAAATAAAAAAACAGATGACAATCGTTAAGTTCCGAGAATATTCATTTTTCCCATGGCAGTCCTTCCCAACATTGATAAGTGTAGGTTTTTCCATTTTTCAAAATTTTATTTGCTTAGTTTCATATAATTGTCTTCTTTTATTGTTGCACATCTTGCTGTTAAATATATTCCCAAGTATTTAACTTTCTTAACTATTTGAAGTTCCACTTCTGCCAGTTTTCCTTTTTGGTTTTGTGTGACATTTTGAACTATCACTTTAGTTTTTTCTCTATTTTCAGTCCTGCTACCTCTCCAAACTACTCTATCTCTTTCAATAGTTTAGGAATTGTCTCTAACTGATCTTCTACAATAAATGACACATCATCTGCAATCGCTTGTAGTTTAACGTATTTTTTGCTCCATAAGACTCACCCCACCCCACCCCCAAAAAAGTGGGTGGAAATGTCTGTGTGTCTTATGGAGCGAAAAATATGCACTGCAACGGCGGGTCCTTTTACAGTGTTGAAGCTCACCTGTCTTTTCATTGCCCATTTTCTCCCTCTAAACCTAGGTGCATCTTATGGTCAGGTGTGTCTTATAGTGCGAAAAATATGGTATATTTTAGGTCTTATCTCCTTTTGTCAATATAAATAGTAGAGGCGATAGTGGGCATCCTTGTCTTGTTAGAAGTTCCTATTAGGAGGCCTGGATCCTGACAACCATCCAAAAAGTGCAAAGTGCTGAGGCTGGGCTTAAATTTTACATCCCAGAAGAAGGGACTAGAAAGCACAAGGATATGAATGTCTTACAAAATGGATTTTTAAATGCTGTTGCAGGAGGCAGAATTGAAGTCAAAATATATATCTGAGAAATCTGAATCAATTTGATTGATATGGATTGAGTTTTCCTTACACCAGAGATACGTCATAATTATACAGAATATAATTATGTTAGTTAGTTCAAATTGCAAAATCGTGCAAAATTTCTGTGGCACTTGGGGACTGGGGCTGCTGCCTTAAGTGGTATGGTGACATGTCACTTCTTTGTTATCCCTTGAGCTTAAAAGGATAGTTAACTGACACTGGAGTTACGCAACCAGATTTTCCCCCCATATTTTGCTGCTCATTCGATGAGTGAAGACTCTTGTCTGCAGCACTCTCTGTAAACAGAGGTCTTGACGCTTCTGCCCTTCTGCGGTGACAGGCATTTCTGTTTGTATGTGCACGTTCATTCCCAAAAGATAGACTGGGCTTAGAAAAGTTGTACATATATAAGGATTATTGTGAGCGGGATCCATTGGTAGGTGCTGCTCCCCTACAGCCTGATCGGGTACAGCTTATAGGTTTAGGTGGACAATGCTACTTAAAAACAAGCTCACAGCTGGCGTCCTGAAGGCTGGAATCCAGCTTCATACCCTGTCAACTTGCTACATGACTGATAAGGTAGGCAAATAACACACAAGACAACCCTTTTTTCACACAGCAAGGACATTTGATCAATTTATGAAGCATCAAATATACATTTTCATATATACAAAGTGGAACTGATTGGGTGGGGGGGAGAAGGAAAGGAAACAAAAATACAGTCAATCTGAGAAGGGGCAGAGGGGAAGCCCCATGCTATAGAAAATACATGGGCTGGAAACACCACCCCCCTCGTAAAGGCTGGTATTTATAATATATATTATATACATGGAATTCTGTACAGCAACAAACCCAACACAGGAAGTGCAGTGCAGGGCAGGGACAAAGTGCATGCTCGGGGGTGGGGCACAGGGTGGGAAGACCTGACATGGGGTATGATGTGGAGGAGAGGAGGAACCCAGGACTTTGCAAGGTGGCACACGGAGGCCTGAGCTGCCACCTGATAAAGATTCCTGGCTTCCCTCCTCTCAAGGCTGTGGAGCAAAACTGGTTGGCAGAGGGCAACGAAGCCTAGTGCTTCAAGCCTGTGGGACTCAAGAAACCCCCGTAAGCCTCCTGAGACCCTCTACCATTTGCTCCTCTCTTAGTCTTCCCCCTTTCTCAAAAGAGTGAGAGAAATCTCACCTCTCACTCAGCCGGCTCCCCTTAGAGCAGCCATTTCTGCAAGTTTAGCAGGGCCTATAAAGCCCACAATAAGCCATTTGGCCAAACTTCTCCTCCCGGACACATTCTCTGCATCACTGACCGAGCAAGGATCTTCCTGCCTCTGACTGGGGAAGATGGCAGTGGTAATTCAGAGAATCAAGAGGGCAGTGGGCGTGGCCGGCTGGATGAAATATTTTTTCGCTCGGGCAACCTCTGAGGCTAGCCTAACTTTCAGCAGCCGGTAGAGCTAACCTTCAGAGGTGGCTAGTCTGCATTTTAGAATGGGTCACTGCTCTACTTCCCTCTTCTAAGCTAGGGGAAAAAATAGTGTGCTTCTATTATTAGAAATCTGGGGAGCACCTCTTTGCATTTTATTAAGCAATAAAATAATTTCTTCCATCCAAAATCCATAGCATCTCCTTAAAAATATAAAAACAGGCACTGTTAATTCAGGCATCATTTCCTTACTTTCTGAAACGATGACTTGATACCGTTAATCCAGCCTTTTCTCTCTGTCCAAAGCTAAAACAAGAAGATCTAGGAGGAGGCCCACCTCTAATATTACTAGGCAAGGTAGGTGAGTGGCAGAACAAGGTAGCACCTCAAGGGAAGGAAGAAGGTGAGGTCTGGATGTGCCCCATAAGCTTGATTTGGGACAGCAGAAACTGGATGCCATCTTTTTCTGGAAACACAGCGCACAGGGATTAAAGTGCATCTAACTTCCCAAAGGAACGACTTGGGGGAGAATCCTACTCTGTCTCCCCATTACCAGGCATTAACGCACTGACTGGCTGAAAAAAAAAAAACAATTTAGGAGAGAAGAGATCACAGCAGTTTACTCTCCACTCTCCAATTCAATTAGGGATGGGTTCATAAAGCCCAAGAATATACAAGTGTGTATCTTTAAAAAGAGATTCAGTGCAAACCCCACATCAGGGGTGGGGAGAAGAAGGGGGTAAAAATAGCCCTTTATGAATAAGAACTGAGGGGTCAGGGACACATTCCCTTCCCATGTCCCAGACTTCTCCATACTTTGAACTCATCTCTTCCCCAGAGATCCTTCATGTCTCCCATCCTAGTCTCTTTCCTTTCTCTACTTGAAACAGCAGAAACTCACAAACTGTGCAAATTACCAATTACAGCCTCTCTTCATCACCTCCCCAAAAGAGCAAAGGGCCCCCAAGGATTCATCAGCTCCACATGCTGAAGGTGACTGACAGATGTATCTTTCTCTCTATGGAGCAAGTCAACAGGTAAGACAGCTTTCAAGAGGAAGAGCCCGTTTTCTAAAACGGGGGTCTCCAACCTTGGCAACTTTTAAGGCTTGTGGACTTCAACTCCCAGAATTTTCAACTCCCAAGCCTTAAAGTTGCTGAGGTTGGAGACCTCTGTTCTAAAACACAAAGTATTTGTCTAGTAATTGATGACACTAGATGGACAAATTAAGGGAAGACCGATTGAAAGTCTGTTTTGGACACCAAAACAACAGAAGCATCTTTGAGGAGCAACCTGCACAAGGGCATGCTGATACCCACAGTGCTGAAGGAATGGGTAGGTAGGTGTAGATATTTTTTTCCAACAAAGCACCTGCCTGAGTTCTTCTGGAAACACCCCCCTTCCCCCTTGATAAGAGACAGGAAGGCACGCTCCCATCAGCACTACTATCAAAGTCAGCAACAGCAGTTGCTTAACATCACAGCAGTTCCATGTCACAGCCAAGTGTATGAAAGTGGGCATTAAATAAAACTGCCTCAAAATATTGTCAAGTCATGGCAATGAAGAACATTTAGGTGACAATGGGCTTTTCCTTGTTTGTTATATTCTAATAGAAGTGGCTGCTTTTCCCCAAATAAAGACAGAACATTGGGGAAAATGGAGGCTTATGAGGAGTTGCAAGGGGAAAATGACAGGCTTGAGAAGGGCTAAACTCCTGGTTTCTGCTGTACTTCTGCACATACAAATTCTGTGCCTCTTTGCAGAATTTGGCAATGAACAAAGTATTTTATGTAGCCTCAAAACTTCATCTATGGTCTTTAGAATTCTGTTCCATTTTCTGCATTTATAGGGTTGTTTGCCATGAGGAAAAGTGAGTTCATGGTCCACAGGACCTATTAAAACCGGGTTAATCAGACTGAAAACGTATTTTGGGGGGGGTAAATCAGAAAAAAAATTAAGAGATTCTTCTTCAGTCATTCTTAAAATGCAGGATTCATAAATGTCATTTGCAGTTTAAACATGGCACACAGAAGGCAGCCACAGGGACTATTTGCTACCTATTAAAATGTTAAAAGTACAAAGCTTTTCTTCTTATCAGCAAATTCTGGGGCTAATAAGAGAGAGAAGAAGAGAGACTTCTGAAGTCTTGTTTGGATTAGTGCTTTCTGGGGAGAGGTTCTGAGCAGAAGAAAATCATTTGTACAGCTTCCTCTGCACATTAAAAACCACTACACTGGGCAAGATTATCTGGGAGACTATCAGGTGTCCCACATACAGCAAATAGTATGATTATCTCTGCCCATTTCTGACAATGGGAGCATGTAGCAAAATCATATGACTGATTCCTTCCTTCCTTCCTTCCTTCCTTCCTTCCTTCCTTCCTTCCTTCCTTCCTTCCTTCCTTCC